AGATGCTCTGCCGGGGAAGGAGGGACAATCTCCTCCTGTACCAGGCAGATCTGATTTGACGGTACACACACACAAAAATAATAAGATAAAATAATAGAAATAAAATAAGATTGCTCTAGTCCTGCAAGTGCTTGCCCGGAAGTGTCCCTATTCTGCTATTAAGCTCAGGTCTGAAGGAGCTTATCTTGGGCACCGTGGATCAGAGCTGCCCGGTGGCTGCTCCGGATGAGAGCTCAGATTCCCGTTCACCCCCCGCTGAAGTGGCTCCTTGAAGCCTAAGAGGATGATGAATCTGGCAGATCTCCACGTTAGCACCGTTTATAGCTCATTGTCATGGCCCCTCCCTAACGGGTGCTACGTACCTTATTTTCATTGTTACCAGCTAGTCCCTTCGGTGGGCCACAAACGACTCACATGTGTATAGTCCTGCGTTATCACGCCTTGGTCTTTCCCATCACTTGCTGGAATAAAGATGCTAGAGGAAGCGTTGGTGCTTTTGAGCTGTGGTGCTGGGGTACTGAATATCCCACGGAAGCCCAAAAGAACAAACAAATGTGTCATGGAGAAGATGCAGCCAGAGGACTGGAGGCAAAAGTGGTAAAGCATCGTCTCTTGTATTTTGGGCGTGTTGCTAAGAGAGGCTCTTCTATGGAGGGGGGACATCACGCTTGGATAGTTGGGGGCTCAGTGAAGGAGAGGAAGACCCTCAACCAGGCAGATTGTCACAGTGTCAAAGAGCAGTGGGCTCTAGAGTGTTAGGAGGTGTGAGGTGGGCCCAGGATAAGACCAGATGAAGACTTGTTATTCTTAAGGTCTTTCTCTACTTAACATCACCTAACAACAGCATTATCACTTTATGGATGTCACGAAAACTTGGGATACTGGAGCTTTAATGCTGGAGTATTTAATCCTGAACCATATTCCTCGCTGAGTAATACAAGTTCCCTTTCTTCGCATTCAACCCACCTTGGATGTTGTAAACTCCGTCGTAAACTAGTGAGGTTGAAGCCTCTGGACGGATCCCACAACTCTCTTAACACAGGACAGTGAGCACGGGCGTGTTGCTGTCATTCTGTGCCGTAGAGTTAACTTTGACTCGGAGGGACCAGGTGAAGAACAGATCTCTCTCATCCTCGCCTGCCCCGTCCGCACCACGTCCGCCACGCTTGAGCCCACTGTGGCGGGTGCCGTGTCAGTCACCGTGTCAGTCCGTCTCCTTGAGGGTCTTTGTCTTGACCCTCCACCTTCCCAGCATTGAGTTCTTTTGCAAAAAACTAGCCCCACCTGAGGACATGCGTGACGTGTGTGAGATGGGAGAAGCCAGAAATGACCGCAAGTTATCAAATGAGGGCTGTGGCCAGAATGGCAGTATTAATCCTTAACATTTCATCACACCACAATGAACTAACCTTCTGCTACCTGCTTTTATTGTCTGGAATGTTTATTTTTAAAATTAATTAATTAATTTATTTATGTTTTTATGTATGTATGATGTATGTATGATGTATGTATGATGTATGTATGATGTATGTATGTATGTATTTCTTCCTTCCTTCCCTTCCTTCCCTTCCTTCCTTTCCTTCCTTCCTTCCCTTCCTTCCTTTCCTTCCTTCCTTCCTTCCTTCCCTTCCTTCCTTTCCTTCCTTCCTTCCCTTCCTTCCTTTCCTTCCTTCCTTCCTTCCTTTCCTTCCTTCCTTCCGTCCTTCCTTCCTTCCTTCCTTCTTCCTTTCCTTCCTTCCTTCCGTCCTTCCTTCCTTCCTTCCTCGATGTGCAAGGGACAGTAAGCCTATTCCGTTGTTTACACTGTTGGCAGGTTGCTCTAGAGAGCTTCCTTTAATCAAGAACATTTTTACTTAGATACCTCCATTCCAGTGCTAGTTGAAGGGATGGTTAATTGTTCTCTTCTTTCCTAGAATCCTGGGAAGTTGATGCTCATCCGCTTGCACGGCTGAAAAACGAGAAAATGAGACAGTGCCATAAACACACTGCATCAGAAAACACCACTCAGCGGCGTACAGTTCATCTTCCTTTAAGGGAAAGTCACGGTATGTTTGAGTTCTGTGAAAGAGACGTGATATCCAATAGAACCGCACCCTCAGTCAAGCAGAACAGAAGCGAGGATGTAAAGAATTCCGCTGAGCTTCTGGAAGACGAGACAGCCTTGGTTCCTGCAGACGGTGAGCAGTTTCATACTGGAATCAAATTCCCCAAGAGCCAAAGATGCAGGCCCACCAAGTCCCCAGCTGTTAAGCATCAAGAATGTGACAAGAGGAAGAAGCCCCATGCGTGCGGCGAGTGTGGGAAAGCCTTCCACAGGAAGTGCTCCCTCGCTGACCATCAGTTCCTCCACGTGGGTCAGAAGCCCTTCCGCTGCAGTCTGTGTGAGGACACCTTCTGTAAGAAATTAAATCTCATGCACCATCTCCACACCACACACAAAGGACAGAAGCCATATAAATGCGGGGAGTGTGGCAAAGCCTTTCTCCAGTTAAAACAGCTCAGTGTCCACCAGAAGAGGCATTTGGCAGAGAAACCGCACACGTGCGGGGAGTGTGGGAAGGGCTTTATTAAGAGAACAGAGCTCACCATTCACCAGCGGGTTCACACTGGAGAGAAACCCTACGTGTGCGAGGAGTGTGGGAAAGGATTCATTAACAAGACCGCTCTCACGATGCACCAGCAAATTCACTCCGGGGAGAAGCCCTGTATATGCAGCTCCTGTGGCAAAGGCTTCAACCGCAAGGGCAGCCTCGTGGTCCATCAGCGAATCCACACGGGCGAGAAACCCTACGTCTGTGGCGAGTGCGGCAAAGGCTTCACCTACAAGCGCGGTCTCGTTATCCACCGGTGGACGCACACTGGCGAGAAGCCCTACTTGTGCAGTGAGTGCGGCAAAGGTTTGAAGCATAAGAAGAGTCTCACCATCCACCAGAGAACCCACACGGGAGAGAAGCCATACGTGTGTGAGGAGTGCGGCCGGGGCTTCCACCAGAAGGCGGGGCTCACCATCCACCTGCGAACGCACACGGGAGAGAAGCCGTACGTCTGTGAGGAGTGTGGCAAGGGCTTCAGCCAGAAGTTGTGCCTGATCGCACACCAGAGGTTCCACACGGGCAAGTTCCCCTTCTCCTGCAGCGAGTGCAGCAAGTGCTTCTCCCAGAAGTCGAGCCTTAACTCCCATCGCAAGATCCACACGGGCGAGAGGCCCTTCCGTTGCAGCGAGTGCCAGAAAGCCTTCCGGTCCAAGCAAGAATTCACGGCCCATCAGAGATCACACACGGGAGAAAAGCCCTACGGCTGCCAGGAGTGCGGGAAGGCTTTCTCTTACGCCTCCAGCGTTTACTTGCACAGGAGAAAACACAAAAAGGAGAAGCTTTTGGATGGGCTCAGTGTTGGAGACCCTGTCCCAGAGAGTCATAGCCCATCCCTTAACAGTGAACTTCAGGGAAAGAGCCCTGTGAGTGAAGGGAAGCTTCCTGGGGCAACTCAGACATCAGGAAACAATGATGGACTCCTAGCTAAGAAGGACATGGGTCTTGTTGGACAGCCTGATCTCAGAGGTGGACCACTGGGAGATAACAGAGAATTGGCCCAGCAGAGAAATCCTGTGGATACAGTGAACGGGCTTATATCCCTCAATGTCGTCCCTGTCATGGTCCCTTCAGTGTCCAGTGATATATTATTTTATGTCCTACAGAATCCATAGGCTAAACCCCAAGACGTTCACTGAGGATAAGGGTTGGGCAACACTTCTACCTCACTGTGTGACTACAAACTGTATCCTGGGGGGTTAAAAGTCATGAAGGCAGAGATTGGATGTTCTGTTTATGCTCTTAGATATCAAGGCACAAGGTGGTGTTTTGTACACAGGATACGTTCTGTCCTACCCACTGGATGGATGAAGCCAGCGTTGATCTATGCAGAAAATAAACACGATGCATTTGTAAAACAGGAGCGATCATGGGTGTCTGGAATGTTGCTGCGAGTGTAAAACCACGTATTTGTTGATGGTGGGATAGTATATGCATGGTGCACGAGGGGAGATACTGAGTTAGCAGACTATGGGGCGATCTGTGTGAGTTCATTTCCCCCAGGTGAGTGTGAACGGTTAACTGAAAACCAGTTTGTCTGCAGTTCAGAAAAGCACTTACATTCTGCAGAGGGATTTAACCATGTAGTGGTTGTAGTTCTTCTCATTGACTACAGCTCACAGAAACCTTAGGAAGAACGAATCTGAACCCTGTCCTAGCCTGTACCATCCTCACCATCTCTGACACACTTGAGACCATCACGGTGGTGATCCATGGTATCGAGGGTCTTCCTCTCTCTCTTACGGACCCTCCACCTTTCGAAGTATGACGTTCCTTTCTAATGAACAACCTCCTGGAACAGCATACCTAAAGAATATGAGACAAGACTTCCCTATCCTTGCTTGCAAGGAGCATTCTGGCTGCACTTGTCCAAAGACATAACTGTTCTCACTGCAATCCCAGAGGAACACGGTTCGAATCCACCAGATGCTCTGCCAGAGAAGGAGGCGCAATATCCTCCTGTACCAGTCAGATCTGATTTGACGGTACATGCACACAAAATAATAATAAAGAAAAAAAAACTGTTCTTAGGGCAGTCCATGGGATATTCAGAGTTCCAACAACACAATTTGCAGGGATCAATTTTTCTGTCATTCTTAATCATTTCCAAGCTCTCTTAAGCACAGCAAGTGATTGAAAAGACCATGGCCTGAGTCAGGCACACCTTAGTCTTCAAACTAATAACACTGCTTCTCAATATCTTGGAGAGGTCTGTGACGGCAGACTTTTCCAATGCAGTGTGTCTCCTGATCTCCTGGGTGTTGGTTGTTGATTAAGGTGAAATTGTTGACTGTTTCAAGATGGACACGTGTTTCTCTACCATGATGTCCTTTATCAGTCCAGTGGTGAGGACTTTTTTCTTCTTCATATTGAGATTCAATCCATATTAACGGCTGTAATGTTTGATCTTACGTAACGAGTCTCTAAAGTCCTCACTTTCAGGAAGCAAGGTAGTGTAATCTGCTTATTCCAGGTTGACGAGTCTTCCTCTGACTCTGATGTCATGTTTATTTTCCTAGAGTCCACCTTCTTGAATGATTTGCTCAGCATAAAAGTTAGGTGTAGAGAAGGAATACAACCCCGATGTATACCTGTCCTGATTGTAACCCAAGTAATCTTCCCTTTCTCTCGTCAGTCAGCTTATTGTTCTAGATACAGGTTTCAAATGAGTATAATTACATGCCTAGGATTCCCATTAATATCAATTTTTTTTAATTTACTTTTAATTTCAATGAAAATTTACAGAGACTTTGCATTTCCATTCATTCATTGTTGTACTTTTCTCCCTTCCCAACCCTCCCCCCATAATCTCAATTTTATCCACATTTTTTAATAATCCATACAGTCAAAGCAATAGTATTCCATCAAGTTTAATTACTTTTAATGTCACTTCCTTCCTTTGTGTCTGGCCCTATTTCTAGCAGTTAAGAGTACAGCCGTGAATAAACTAGACAGAAAACGTGGAGTTGAGGGGAGCTCTGGTGGCCTAGTGGCAAGAAGCTGCAACTACAATCCCAGAGGTGCACGGTTCGAATCCACCAGATGCTCTGCCGGGGAAGGAGGGACAATCTCCTCCTGTACCAGTAAGATCTGATTTGACGGTACACGCACACAAAAATAATAAAATAAAATAAATAAATACTGGAGTTGGATCACATTTCACTTGAAGCTTGACACTACAGCCAGTGTAATCAAAGGACGTAATGTCTACAATGGATAAAATGCTGTGGGTAGATGCCAGTGGGTTGACTACAACTCTTGTCACCCTGTGAACAATAGGTTGAAGGCTTCCCTTATCCTGTGCCATCCTCATAGTCTCTTCCTTGCTTTAAACTGATTGCTGCTGTTGCTGTGTCAATCCTAGAAATACGTGAAATGTTAAATACCATCGAGTCAACCCCATGAGTAGCGGATCTGAACTTTGTCTTTCCTACCGATCCTCCCAATCTCAGTCACTCTCCATCAAGCCCAGTGTAGTCACTGTGTCAATCCTCTCTGAGGGTCTTCTCTATCTCTGATTCTCCACCTTTCCCAGCATAATGTCTTTTCCCAAGGCCTGACAACTCCCAACAGCACGCCCAAAGTCTGCGAGCCAAGCTCTCATCATCCTGGCTTCTAAGGAACACTGTGGGTACACCACTTCCAAGATACGTTTGTCTGCGCATTTAACAGTATGTTTTATATTCAGTTCTCTGCTCCAGGACCACACTTCAAAGGCATCAATTCTTTGACTTTTAATTCAGTAACAGATGAAGTGGACATGGAATAATTAGAAAAGGGGGTTAGGGTTAGTTTCAGAAGTTAAAAAATGCTAAACCTGTGTCAAAATCTAGTTGTCATGTCTTTTGTATGCAGGTCGTAAATCCACCTCCTCGAGGGTTCTTGTGGCTGATATTTAATGAATAGACTTCTAGGCTTTTACACTGTGATGTTTCTGGGTGGACTCAAATATCTAATTTTTTCAGTTGGTAGCTAACCATTTACACAACCCACATTTGTACTTACCTCTTAACACTAGGACACCTTTTCGTGGACCGAGGGAGATTTGTAGGCAGTCTCCTTCTGTGCTATTTAAAACCTCCAAAACCCAACAGAGGGTCAGCTTTGAGTCCATTCCAAGTCTCCTGGAAGGAATGAGTTGGGGTTTTTATTGGTCGGTGAAGCAGCCTCGAAAACTCAAAGTCCTTCGTTGAGTCCAGACGGACCCATGAGGATTTTCCATTTGGGTTCCAAGGCCATAAATCACAGGAGAGGAAATGGTCAATATTTCTGCAGAGGAGCTGCCGACAGATTGGAACTACTGGAGAAGCTCTGTTTTGGGGTTACCTGCTCAACCTGGGTAGCGCTTTTTTTATTTGATGTGTGTTCCCAGAGCAAAAATACATCTAATCACAAAATTATTTGTAAAGTGAATAACAGCTAATGAATGAATCGAGTGATGCTTTTTGTCATCAAAGCGAATGAACTAATCAAAATAGCTAATGAATGAACGAAATACTATTTTGTCATGGAATTGAACAAGCCACTGGGGGAACAGTTTACAGGATGGAATATCCACTGGGAAGTTTTTTTTTTCATGTGAAATTCCTTTTTGTGTCCCGTTGAGTTGGAACCAACCCGTAGCTAACCCACCAGTGGGTTTTCAGAGGCAGACAATCACATGGAAATTGGCTGCCCATTTTTCTCCTGCAGAACAGTTGATGGATTTGAACCACAGACCTATGTGTTGCCAGTGCAGTTCTTTATGAAAGTTTTCAGCCAAAAACCTCTCTAAATTATTGAGGAGTAGTGAAACCAGTTTGAGGACAAAGGTGCACCTGATTCTGGCCACGCGTTTTCTATCACTGTGCATCGGAGAGTTGGACAATGACTAAGGATCACAGAAGAAGAATTGATGCCTTTTAACTGTGGTGTTGGAGTAAAGTACTGAATGTGCCTTGGACGGCCAAAAGAACAAATATGTCTTTAAGAAGGTGCAGCCAGAGTGCTCCTTGGGGGCCAAGATGATGAGGCTTCATCTCACTTACATTGGACACATTGCTAGTAGAGGTCTTGGAGAGGGTCATCATGCTTGGGAAGGTTGCAGATTGGTGAAGAACAGGAAGACCTTCAACCAGGTGGATTGACACAGTGACTGCCTCTGTGGGCTCTAGTGTGTCAAGAAGTGTGAGGAGGCCACAGGATAGGACAAGATGCAGACCCGTTGTTCCTATTTGACTCAACAGCACCACCACCAACAGTATCACTTGATTTATTGTGGTGGTGGTGTACTGTAGACTCAGAACTGACCCATAGCCAACCTGGTTTTCAGATGCCATTAATCACACCAGAGATTTTATTCATCCGTCTCCCACAGAGCAACTGGAAGCCTCAGACATCATGCCTTGGGGATTGCAACGCAGCTTTTTTTCACTAGACTACCAGACCTCCCTTGATGGAAGATACAAAAATTTTGGCTATAAGAGCTGTTATCTGCTGCACCATATTCCTCACTGAGTAATACGTATTCCCCGTCTTAGCATTTAACCCACATGTTGTGCCTTTGTAGTCGACTGGTAAACTGATGTGGTGATGACTCAGAACAGATCCCACAACACTCTAAAAGAGGACTGTAGCTGCAGGCATGTTGTCATTATGCACCATTGAGTCAACTACAATTCATAGCGACCCAGCGACCAACAGATCTGAACCCTTGCTTATCCTGTACCATCCTCACCGTCTCCATAATACTTGAGCCCATTATGTCAATCACCGTGTCAGTCCCTCTCCTTGAGGGTCTTTGATCCTTGACCTTTCCCAGCATGATGCCTGTTAGGAAGAACTAGTCCCTGTGTGAGATGGGTAGAGGCCAGAAATTACTGCAAGTTATCAAATGAGGGCTACACCCAAAATGGCCATATTAGTCATGGGTAATTCATCACACCAGAGTGAACTAACCTTGTGTCTATGCTACCTGCTTTCATTGTTTGGAATATTCATTTCTTTGTCGATAAGCAAAGGACAGTGAGCCTGGTACAGGGTTTACACGGCTGTCAGCAGGTTGTCACTTGAGCCCTACTTTATATCAATAATGCTTTTTTTTTAAA